ATGTGGTGCTGGGGGATTGAACCGCGGTCCCTGATGCTTTGCTAAGCTTGTTCTAAGTAGGTGCTTTAGATCACTGAGCCATCTCTCCAGCCCCAAAGCGGTTCCTTAATATGGTGAAAATTCATCTCTGCCAAGGCTAATAGCTTTGCTTTTTTTTTTTTTTTTTCCAGACTGGGAATCGAAATCACAACCTAAATAAAAATATGTAAGATTAAAAAAAAAAAAAATCACAACGTTATGCTTGCTAGGCAGGCGCTGAAGCCACTGAGCTACTATCTCCCCGGCCCGTAGGCTAATAGTTTTGAAGCCACAACCCTGCATGAGTGATCAAAGCAGCACCTACTCTCTTCATAAAAACAATCCCCCTCTCGCGCCCCCGTTGCCCCTTCATTCCTCCTGGCTGACTCAGCTATCACTCCCGCCTGACCCACTTAAATCCAGATGGGGAAGCTCCGGTGGGGCTCTGCCTAATGAGGGCCTCCTCACCTGTCTGGGCTACGAACTTAATGCCCCACCCCCCACCCCCCACCCCGAAGCAGTACCAAGGAAAAGGCCAGGCCCTTACGCCACAGTCACTCACCACTGCAGGTGGAAAGTGTGGCCACAGTGGATGGCGGCTATATCACGGGAGTGGTCAAATAAGTCGGAGCAGATAGTGCAGAGTGCACGGATAGGCATGACGGCAGGACACTAGCCGCCCAGGCAGCTACGAAAACTGCTACAGGTCTCGCCGCGCAGTTGTGTTCCCGCTTCCCCGCAGGCTTCAAATTTGGCTCCACTGCACGACTTCCGGGAGAGAACCGGAAATGACGACACCGAAGCGATGCTGCAACCTTTATTTCTGTGCCTGATTGGATAATCCCTCGGGGGGAGGAACCAGGGGCGGGCCTAGCGGCCCCAAAAACTGTGAGGAGTCGTGGGACAGATCTCTCTAGCTGGCGTCTCAGACTACCCTGTGTTGCTTGAGGCAGAAAGAATCCACGCTACTCGTTGGACCCTTTTCCCGAGCCAAGCCGGGCGTCGTGGTCCCAAGGCATAGCTGGCGCAAGGCGGGCCAGGCCTGGCCTCCTCACCTCGGTTCTTTCTGCACCTCGGGACAGTTAAGAAGACTGCAGCCGCAAGGGAAAGGGATGATTGTCCTGATGGGTTCCCAGGGCTCTAGGCAGAGCTGGACCGAGTGCTGGCATCTATCTCATAGTTCCCCAATAAAATAAAGCCTCACTCTCTAAGCTTTTCGTTGCAAGTAATCCTGGCAAGATGGACACGTGATGCTCTGTAACCATAGCATCTTGCCAGGCTGTATCCCAGGTTACCTTAGTTTTACTCGAGACCTAATAATCCCCAGGTTTGGATACTAGTGCCAGTACCCTAATTTAGATTTTAACTCCCAGGATTCGTTAGGCTTGGGACTATCGTATGATTACAATTTTGGAGATATAGATACTTCAAAGACCAGGGACTAACCCTTTTTATTATTCCCACATCATAGAAGTTATCTTTGCGGTCCTCCCTGAAAAAGCAGCAACCCTGGTGAGTTGAGGCCCATCTTAACTGAAACAAGACTCCACAGGGCTTTTCATGATTTTTTTTTTTCAATATTATTCCCTCTCCCCAGAAATCTTATGCAGAACCCCATAGCATAAAGCTGACCTGCTCCAGCTGAAGAAGACAGAGCAAAATCTTTTGGGCCTATGTAGAAAGCACAGGTGTTCATAAAAATCAGTACACAGCACAGAACCTTTGTGTAATGGCCACTCTACACCCCTTACCCAGCCCTATTTTGGACATGAGCAAGCTCTCTCCCTGTGGTGGTTGGCCCTGCGAGAGTACCAGGTCTATTCTCAAATTAAGACAAAGGTTTCTTGGTTAATAGAGTTGGAACAGCAAACCCTACTTGAGCTTTCAGCCCAGGGAACACTCCTTGGCCCAAACCTAGCACAGGACTCACCGCCCACATGAACTGCAGAGTCCAGAGGATCCCCATCACTACATTCAAAGGATGCACTGGTGAGTGACTTTTACTCTGAGCCCAAGCAATTCACTGAGCATCAGTCACTACCTGGACTGTGAGGATGGAACCTTCTCTGACTCCTCCCTCCCCATTGCCTTCTAGGGACTCCTCCTTGAAATGACAAGAGGAAGCAAAGGCAAGAGGGTGGCCAGAGGCTTTGCAGGGTGACATTTATTTGCCAGATTCAGCAGGCACACAGTCAGCCCACAAACCTTCACATACCAGAGCAGACCTATAGGCATGCATGGAGAAGGGCAGGACCACCAGAGTGCCGAGCAAGGGCGTGAACCAGTGTGGCTGCCTGTCCAGGTTGTGGTATGATCTGACAAAGGGCACCTCTCAGGAGCCTCCTCAGAGAACTGGAGTCTTATTCCTCATCTTAGGAAAAGCAACTTAACATGGCTGAGACACCCAGACCTCTGATCAAAGTAAGCAGTAAAAACAGAGGAGGGTCATCCTCTCCATGTTGGTAAACTGAGGGTAGACAATCTGCCCCAGTGAAGGGCAAACCCACATGCAGCAGGCCCCCTAGAATGGAGAGGACTTATGGATCAATCCTCTGCAGGATAAGCATCTAGGAAGAGCATGGGGGTATCAGCCAGCCTTCTCTGTCCCAGGATAAGGACTCAGCTAGGCTGGACAAGAAGGTACTGGGGTTGTACTCTGCTATCCCGGGTCTCATTGCCACATCTTAATTGCTAGTTCTTTCCATTAAAAGCTCATCAGGTTCAAGATACAGGGCAATTCACTGCAGGGCTCAGGAGGGCAAGAAATAATACACGAGTCTTAGGAGTGGCTTCCCAGAGACAAATGTGGAAGCTTCTACCCTGCTACTCATTCTCTCCTACTTCTGAGGACCCCCACAGCTAGCATGCAGTGCCCCCAGCCATGTGACCAGTCTTGATTTAAAGCACAATGCCCTAGATTTCTGCATCCTCTATACTGGCCGGTGTCTACTCCAGGAGCAGCCCACACATCACAGGTACACACCTGCATGTTCAGGAGCCTATAACCACTGACAGGGCCTCGCTGGAAGACCAGCTCTCAGGGCAAGGCCACCCAATATAGGGCCTAGGAAAATATGGGGCCTGCAGGGTCTGCCTGGGGGAATGAGGCAGGGAGGGGAGGAGGAGAGCAGGGACCCCCTGAGTATCCCTAGAGCAGCATCTCACAAGGAACAGAAACTGGAGAAGCTAGCAAAAGACAGAAAAGCCACAAGGAATCCATGCAGGGGCTGGGGCTGGCCCTGCCTCTGGCCTACCCACCACTCATACACATACACACAGGAGACAAGACTGCTCTCCTGTGACCCCCAGGCATGCCCCACTGGGATGGGGGACTTGGGGGAGCAAGGACATCATGCTAGCGACTCTATGTACAGTGAGAAGACCCTTATCCACTCTCCCACCCTCCTGTCAGCCCCCGATACCCCCAACAGGCTACCCATTCAGCTGGTCTCCTCCTTCCGAGACTCCTGGAAATAGCCAGTAGCCTCTTCCCCTTTACTAGAGGGTGGAACCGGGCCTGTGATGCCCCCTAGGGCTGTGCTGTCCGGCTGAGCCATAGCCGGTTCAGGGGTAGCAGCTGCCTTGGCAACTGGTATGGCACTGCTTTGAATGGTGGGCACCGTGCTCTCTTCTGTGGCTGGTGTGGCTCTCCCATCAGTGGCTGGAGTAGCACTCCTGTCAGTGGCCGGGGTGACGCTGCCATCAGTGGCCGGGGTGACGCTGCCATCAGTGGCCGGGGTGACACTGCCATCAGTGGCTGGAGTGGTGCTGCCATCTGTGGCCGGAGTGGAACTACGGTCTGCAGAAGCCATATTATCACTCTTGGCAGCACACACAGCATCTCCCCCTGTGGCTCCAGCAGCACTGCTCCCTGAGGCAAGGACAGCTCCACTAGCAGCTGTGGCCCCACCTGCAGCCCCGGGGGTGGCAGTGTCTGTTGCTGAGGCCGACTGGGAGGCAGCTGTGCCAGACTGCTCTGGTGCCCGGAGCCGTTTCATGAGGGTGGTCACTCGGACGGCTTTCTGAAAGGATAACAGTAAAGAAAGGCTTGGGGTGAGAATTGCTGGACCTGTTTCTTGGCAATCACCTAATCTAGCCTGTTCCATGGTACTGCAGCTGCCTCTGACCACTGATCAATTGTACTTCTGCTAAGGGTAATGACAGTGACTATAGCCACATCTGGTAACCTATGAAAAGCTTGTGTATGGCTGCAGAGGTGTGGTACCAGTTGTGAAGGAGAAGCTCTAGGGAAAACTTACCTTCCACTTGGCCCTGGCAAAGTTCTTTTCAATCTGGGCACAGACACCATCCTTGATGTTCTTATCAGAAGCAGCATTGCCAGAAATCCTGGAAAAGGTACAATACATGTGAATCTGAGGGATTATGGATCTTTGTGGAGACTCTGTCCTGCCTACCCCTATCCGCTCCAGGACTGTACCAGGCAAAGCCTCTGGGTTGGCCTGAGGTTTAAGTGCCCCTACTCACTTGAGGCCTCAAGGATGGGGGCTTCTAGTATAAATGGTATAGAGGTCCTTTCATTCTCTCCTGTGCCTTGCTCACCATTCATGGGAGATGGCCTCTTCTGCAGTGATCCGCTGGTCTTGTTCCACCTCCATCAACCTTGTGACCAGGTCTTTGGCTGGAGATAAAGCCAGGGAGACACTAGGCATGGCATCCACCTCATTGTCTAGAGGTCATTAAATGGGCTGGGGGGCAGGAGCAGAATCTGGCAGAGAACGCTGAGAGCAGCATCTCCCTCCCTACCAGCCTACATTCTACCCACACGCTGGGCACCTGCTCACCTGCCTGAGAAATATCATCCCAGTATGGAGAGTCAAACTCATAGTCGCCAGCCAGGATCTTGCGGAAGAGATTCTTATCATGGTTTTCATAGTCATCTTCTTCTACCTCCTCATAGAAGGGTGGGTTTCCTGAAAGCCTGCATGGGGGCAGGGTCACCCAGGATGGCCACAGGCACAGACCTCCCACCCCAGCCTGCTGCAAGTCTATTTTTCTACCCATCTACTCACAGAATGTACATGATGACACCAATAGCCCAGCAGTCCACAGGCCGTCCATACCGTTGCCGTCCTACCACCTCTGGGGCTACAAACACAGTGTCCACCTGCAGGTCAGTATCAGGCCTGGCCAGGTCCAGTACCATCCACACCCTCTTCCTAGAAAAGGAACTTCCACCTACCCAAAGAGGCTCCCTGATGTCTACCCCCCACTCCCTTGCCCCAGCCCTGCTTGCCCAGATACTCAGGGGTCCCACAGGGCTCCTTGATGAGGCCATTTTCTAGCTTAGCCAAATGGAAGTCGCTGATGACAATCTTTGAGTTCTTCAGCCTGTTGTAGTAAACCAGGTTCTCTAACTGCTCCAGTCAGGAATGCATGTAAGAGAGCAGAAGAAGACACCATGAGGACCTCAGAGGTTAGACCAAGGCCCCAAGGTTCTGCCCACTCCCACCCCAGCCAGTTGCTTATTGAAAAATGCCCCCAGCCCTGGTCTCACCTTCAGATTCCTGTGCACAATCTTGAGTGAGTGCAAGTAGGCCACAGCCTCCAGGACCTGCCGCACCACGTTGCTTGTGTCTCGCTCCGAGTAGTAGCCCTGGTCCAGGATCCAGTCAAACACCTCCCTCCCCGTGGCCCTGAGGGACACCAGCCCCTGAGCCCGGTGTGGGAAGGATCAAGTCAGGCAGGAATATTTGGGAGGGCTTCCTGCACCAGGCAGCTGGCT